GGGCGGGCTTTGCTGAACGTCTAAAGCAGAACAGTCCAACAACCACCGAAAAAGAGCGAAAAACAGCCCTGCCTTCATTCGCCATGACATCGACTGATGACTATGGTGTCTCCATATTGGCGGCTGCAGCGCTGCGCGAGCTGGTGATGTGGGCGGCTCGCCGGAGGGTAAGCGGAGTAACTGCGAGCACAAAAAAAGACAAGAAGCACAAGAAGCACCATCATCATGTATTGGACTGCAAGCTTAGACGCATGTCCAGAAGCTACTGTATCACTGGAAATCGCCAGTCCCGGCGATGATGCTCGATTATCCTTCAGGGCGAGGAAGTAAGTCGAACATTGTCGTCGTTGCTGCCATCGAGATATAAGTACGGTCCTGTAGACCAAGGGAGTGGCATTTTGAGCCTTCATTGGGGGCGCTGGATGTCAAAGCCAGCATGCAGGTAGGAAGACACGCAACTTCTATGGCTGCATCCAGCTCGATCACAGTGAAGCTCGGGCGCTTGATGGCTGCGCACCGAACATGTGGTCGTGTAACGTCTTGTGACAAGGCCAGGATCAGTGAAGGCATGGGCTGATTGTGGCTTGCATCACAGCAAGCCTTTGAGGCAAGGCTTGCATCTGCGTTGCGCAGACGCGCTGGGAGATTACCATGCATGAAAATCGCCACACAGTGCTGGTAACCGACCGGCTTGCGTTTGTGCTGCTGAATCAAGAAGCAATTTGATGAGAAGGGATCAACACAAAGGCAGCCATTGACAATCAATGCCTCGACGACTGTTGAGGCATCAAGGCGCACCGCAACCGTGTGCTGGAAGCAGTGATCAAACTCAGGATTCTGAGAGACCGACGGGCGTCGACAGAGTGCTCGAATGATTGCCTGAACGGCTCATGCTGATGATGATGATGCCACGACACTGCGGCTCGCCCGAGGAGCAGAAACCAAGAGCCAGCGCANAAAAAAAAAAAAAAAAAAAAAGAAGAAGAAGAACATGAAGCACAGTCATTGTGAGCGCGCCTTGCACTCGTC